AAGCACTTACGAACCTAGGACCAGATTCACGAAGCAGTTACGCAAGTACTTACAAACGTATACATCTTTTCTCAAGCTTTGACGGCTTTGGTTACATTTATTAAACAGTTTACAAGCATGAAAACTTGCCAATCAACTGTTGTTATTGTTGTAAACAGCCTCCTGGTGCTTCGGAGCTCATTAACTGTTTAATAATTGTAAACAAAGCCACCAAAGATTGAGAAAAGATGTACAGGTTCGTAAGTGCTTGCGTAACTGCTTCGTGAATCTGGCCCCTGAACTGTACGTAAGAGAGTGCAGTGTTTGAACCATACCAATAATATACAAATAACACAACACCTGTGCTGGCCACAGTGGTGTTGGAGTGTGATTGGACCTCGTGTGTGTGGAAGCAGTTGCTGTTTTAGATTCAGCTACTAGGAACATAAAGTTCCAAGTAGCACGGGCTATGGTGAGCCCGTAGTGGACTTACCTGGCACAGGAGCGGGGCAAGTAGCACGGGCTATGGTGAGCCCGTAGTGGACTTACCTGGCACAGGAGCGGGGCAAGTAGCACGGGCTATGGTAAGCCCGTAGTGGACTTACCTGGCACAGGAGCGGGGCAAGTAGCACGGGCTATGATGAGCCCGTAGTGGACTTACCTGGCACAGGAGCGGGGCAAGTAGCACGGGCTATGGTGAGCCCGTAGTGGACTTACCTGGCACAGGAGCGGGGCAAGTAGCACGGGCTATGGTGAGCCCGTAGTGGACTTACCTGGCACAGGAGCGGGGCAAGTAGCACGGGCTATGGTGAGCCCGTAGTGGACTTACCTGGCACAGGAGCGGGGCTGTGGAAGCAGGTTGTTGCCTGGTGATCACACGCCTGCAGCTATCACCCAGCGGGCGCTGACAGTGTGGTACACTCGGTTATACGACGTCACCACGCAGTCGACAGTTGCTACTCCTCGCAATTTTATATTTTAATCTTGGGTGTTTTCTTGGTCGTGAGAACAAATACTTTTTAGTTCTTTATACTAATAACATTCAATACTATTATACAATCTTTTACAATAACTGTGAGAAAATCTAACAGATTTTGGCTAATACGCATATGAAATGTTTATATAAATCCATACTATATATATATTGCTTTAATTTATTGTGAAATATATATAGTGATCGAGTAATATTCTCAAGCTATATTTTTATTTATAATTCTTAATTATTAAAAGTATAAAAAGAATTAAAGAGGAATATTTACTCGCATATCTCTAATTTCTACCCGGTTTTCCTCCTGGTGGTTCACATCTTCGAAGAATTTATGTGTTCCAGCAGTGTTAACTGTGGCGGGCAGTGACGGGTCGACGTGGCTGGTAGAGGGAGGCCTCGTGCATTACTAAGGACTCAGGTAAGGCTAGGAAAGACTTAACATGCGCTCAAGAGGTGTTTATTGACACACTACAGTTGATGTGTTGGCCCCCCAGGAAGCGCACCCCCAAGTGATCAGTGTGAAGTGTCATGTGTTCGTGAGAAGACGACAATGACCTGGGAAACAATGACCTTGGATACAATGACTTGCAGCTTTGATTTGCATTCAGAGACTGAGTCATGGGGGACATTGATCCCCTGAACCACCTCAAGGTATAATGAATAACATATGTATGAAAAAAATTAATGTTTCCCGGGGTTTTCTCCCAACATATTAATAAGTAAACAGATTTCGTTTGACGTCACATTAGTTGTGTTCACATAATTTAAGATCCTGATCGATGTAGCGTCAAGCTTATCCAGCACTGTGATACCATTTAAATATCTGTTAATTCTCCAATCACTCCAGGGTGCGTTCCCACCTAGGTAGGCTTGCGTAAGCTTGGCGCATAGCCAAGCTTACGCAGCCCACATTGAATTAGGAATGTTCGAACATTTCTAATGCAATGTAATGACTCACTTCCAATGTTTTTAATGATATTTATATTTAAAATCGTGTATTGTGTTAGCTCCAATAATTACGTCGTCTAAAACATTCCAATGTCAACGATTGTAACAATGAAGAATTTTTTTTTGCATTCTGTATCTCATTGGTGTTTGTAGCTTCTATCTATGTCCTCTTGTTCTGATATCACTAAGCACTGCTTCTTTTTTTACTTTGCTAGTTATCCATTGGAATATTTTATGTCGTTATCATATCTTCCCATTTATCCTATAATCCAGTTCCGTCAGTATTTCCTCGTTCCTCAAGCCCTTCAGGTCAGGACTCGCAGCAACGAGTCTTGTTGCGTATCTTTCGACCTGTTCGTGCTTTTCAGGTGAGGGGGCTTCCATTTCGTGGTTACACATTCAAGTGGGTCACAAACAGGTTGAACAAAGAACCCGGAAGACTCCTTCAAGTTTCTGAAGACTAAACAGACGTTGTCTACTTGGGCACATGTTATCTTGAGATGATTTGATTTGATTGATGCTGCTGACGTTGTTCTCCTCATGTCTTTTTTTTATGTCTGAAGCAAGAATTTGTCTTCTCATTCTAATTAGTTGAACAAGCCTTCATACAACTGTGTTCAGGCTTCTATTGATTAAGGAATCCTACCAGCTTTTTAAGCATAGGGTTTGATGGAAAACTCTTACATTTTAGAACACAATCTTGTTCTTCACGTGTGCAGAACGGGTTGAGAGAACTGAATCAGGTGGTTTTGGCCAAGGATCAAAGGACCAGATCTCATCCTGCGGATTCTTCCTTCATGTGTTCAAAAGCTGTCAAATGTAATCACAGGCCAATATCATCATACATTTTGCATCCTTCTTAAACATAGATACAGATGACTATTTCCTCTGTCATGTTATTAAAATATATCAGAAATAGAATGGATACCAATACTGATCCCCCGAGGAACGTCACTGATACGTTTTTGTCACTCCTATCTTGCCATATATCCTCTCACCCATCCCAACAGCCTGATTTTGGCTGGAAAATCATGCTGCTACAGTTACGGCAGCCTGGTTTTCAAATTTGTATAGGAGCTTTTCATGTGAGATTTTCAAATGCTTTTTGACGAGGTAAATACAGCCAGCCTCCTCTTATCTCTCTTCTATAATTGCCATTTTATCGTTAAAAGAGCATTGTGGCTGGGAGGCTCAGGATCAGCTTCATCTTTTAGTATTCGTAGTGAGATTCTGGCTGGTCCCTTGACCTCCGTCATCCCGCTCCTTCACTCATCTTATTTCCATCTATATATTTAGTATATTTCTATTATATATATTTCTATTATAGTATATTTTATTATATATTTTATTTAGTATATTTAGTATATTTCCATCTAATATATTTCGTAAATTGCGCTCCTATAGTTCTACTCGGAAATTGAGTTCCCTTACAGATACTTCCTTGGATGTTTTGTTTAGTCTGTCACATACTTCCTTGTCATTTTCTATGTACCTTCCCTCCTTGTTTAGTCTGTCACATACTTCCTTGTCATTTTCTATGTACCTTCCCTCCTTGTTTAGTCTGTCACATATTTCCTTGTCATTTTTTATATACCCTTCCTCCTTATTTAGTCTGATTACCCGTTCACCATCAGTTTCCTTTTCATGTGGTTATACATTAGCTTGAGTTGATCGTTTGCCTTGGGTGTAGTGTCACTTTTCAGACCATCTTCCTGAAATGATAGTTCTTAGAGTAACTATTTGGTCCAAAGTATTAATGTGCACTGATGGTCCACCACTAAACCTTTTTGTAGTATTGATTTCATACAGTCCGGAAAAAAATAAAGCTAAAGACCAAACTTAAATATTCCTAGGCCTAATGTGGCATATATATATTATTTATTATTAACGAATTATATGTGCTACATTAGGCCTATCATAGCGTGCATTAGGCCTAGGATTGCCAGGAGAGGTTAAGTTAGGTCTTATATTTATTTTTGCAGTTAAGTAATTTCTGGTTTGTCCAAATTCAACAATACAAAAGTAAACTTTCTGTTGCTCTATCACTACATATTGGTACTTTAAACCAAATAGCAGCTATAAGTAGAGTAATTTTACTTTATTTTTTTTACATTAATTTTACTTGGCTTTATCACGTCATTTCTCTCTCACTCTCTCTCTCTCTCTCTCTCTCTCTCTCTCTCTTTCGTAGTTTGCGTCTTTTCTGATCTCAATAGCTTTCACAAGTCTCTTTGCTCCGTTTCGCTTCCAGACATCTAATATTGAACTATTGGCTAAGTTTGTACTTTTTTCTTAGAAATGAGGTTCTTGCTTCCTTGTACTTTCCGGCTATGTTGTTCAGTTAAAGAGATTTGCCTCAGAACAATCCCACAGTGTTCGCATAAGGAAGTTTCATGATATTTGGGTAGTCCCCGTGTGTGTGTGTGTACTCACCTAATTGTGCTTGCGGGGGTTGAGCTTTGGCTCTTTGGTCCCGCCTCTCAACTGGTGTACAGATTCCTGAGCCTACTGGGCTCTATCATATCTACATTTCAAACTGTGTATGGAGTCAGCCTCCACCACATCACTTCCTAGTGCATTCCATTTACTAACTACTCTGACACTGAAAAAGTTCTTTCTAATGTCTCTGTGGCTCATTTGGGTACTCAGCTTCCACCTGTGTCCCCTTGTTCGCGTCCCTCCAGTGTTGAATAGTTCATCCTTGTTTACCCGGTCGATTCCCCTGAGGATTTTGTAGGTTGTGATCATGTCCCCCCTTACTCTTCTGTCTTCCAGTGTCGTAAGGTGCATTTCCCGCAGCCTTTCCTCATAACTCATGCCTCTTAGATCTGGGACTAGTCTAGTAGCATACCTTTGGACTTTTTCCAGCTTCGTCTTGAGCTTGACAAGGTACGGGCTCCATGCTGGGGCCGCATACTCCAGGATTGGTCTTACATATGTGGTGTACAAGAATCTGAATGATTCCTTACACAGGTTCCTGAACGCCGTTCTGATGTTAGCAGCTGTGTGTGTGTGTGTGTGTGTCACTGACAAACTGTGTTCTTAAGAAGACTTGACGATGTCCTGAGAGATGCAGTCGAGGAGAATGCGGCGAGTAATATTCCTGGCAGCATCCATCTTCGTGTACCTCACCGCTGTCAAGCACTCAGTGGAGCACGGGAAAATTGGACACAACGTCCCTTGGCGCCCTGGAGGTGACGACGGTGATCCTCGACGCCTTGGCGGTGACAAAGACAACCACAGGAGCCGTAAGTGAACCACATTAACGAGAGGTTTTTAGCATGCTTCTAAGTGCTTTTTCACACAGTGTCTCACCGATCTATATTTTACCCCGTTCACATCAACAATAACCAAATGATTCATTCCATATAGCCATCAAACCCCCCATGTTTATGAATTGCAAGCGCTGTACACACGATTCACAACTCATGACGCTGGAACATTTCTGGAACACTGCTTCGTTGACGACCTCTGCTCGAATCACAACGCTGTAAATGCTTCACCCGCGTACTACAAATACTAATTTAGGCAACCAAACCTAAACACCCAACCTCACCTAACCTACGCCTAAATGTGCTAATATATAATAACAGTAATTTATGATGAAATTCCAGTTTTGGAAGTCCGTCTGCCTCAATGGTCAAGAGCCGAGTCCCAGCTCAGGTGTCCTGGGTAGGTTATCTTGACATGATTTCGGGGCTTAGTGTCTCCGAGGCCCGGTCCTCGACCAGGCCTCCACCCCCCCAGGAAGCAGCCCGTAGCAGCTGTCTAACTCCCAGGTACCTATTTACTGCTAGGTGAACAGAGGCATCAGGGTGCAAGAGACACATTTTTGCCTATTTGTCTCCGCCTCCACTGGGGATCGAAACCGGAACCTCAGGACTACGAATCGGAAGCGCTGTCCACCCAGCTGTCAGGCGCCAGCGAGTACACCCGCTCTCTGGTGACGGGCAATGTTTATGAGGAATTACACAACATGTTGTATGTGTTTATTTCTTCATCCATCACGTAAAGACCCGCTTGCTTAAGTGCTTATTTATGCAGTTCTAATTAGTGGGTAAAAACATTTGTTTCATTACTAACAAATATTGCAATGATAAAATTTGTGTGTATAATTTAATTTTATATTATTTTTCCAGTGAGAAGAGTCTTTACCGAAGCTTAAATGTGTATTTTTTCTCGGGCTTTCAACTGTTGTATTGAAGTCTACGTCGCTTTCGGCTCACAATCGTGAGACCCGGGTTCAATCTCCGGGCAAGATAGAAACGGTTTGACACACTTTCATTTACATGCCTCTGTTCACCTACCACAGAAATAGATACCCGGGAGTTAGGCGGCTGTTACAGGTTGCAAGACAGTGAAGGGCAGTAAATTGCCGTAGGGAAGACCTGTATAGGCCTATGCAAAGGCTTAATCTAATAATTAATAGGGAGCCGAGCGGACAGTACGCTGGACTTGTGATCCTGTGGTCCTGGATTCGATCCCAGGCGCCGGCAAGAAACAATGGGCAGAGTTTCTTTCACCCTATGCCCCTGTTACCTAGCAGTAAATAGGTACCTGGGAGTTAGTCAGCTGTCACGGGCTGCTTCCTGGGGGTGGAGGCCTGGTCGAGGACCGGGCCGCGGGGACACTAAAGCTCCGAAATCATCTCAAGATAACCTCAAGATAACCCCCCTAATAACTGAATTGCAATTATTACTAAATATAAGAAATATTTCGTATTAAGTAGAACTCTGATAACAGTTTTTTTTATGTAAATTACCACAGTGAAAGTACGAGAGATGCTGAGCTCAGGTGCTAGGAGCTTACGTCCCCAGCAGCGGGAGGGGACGCCATCCCAGGACCCGGAGCTTGCTCACTTGGTCGTGGAGGCTTTCCTATCCCCGCGTGGAGTGGTCGTCTGGCTCAATGGTCAAGAGGTGAGTCCTGGCTCAGGTGAGTACTGGGTACACCAGCTCTCTGGTGAGTCATGGGTTCACCCGCTCTCTGGTGAGTCCTGGGTACACTCGCTCTCTGGTGAGTACTGGGTACACTCGCTCTCTGGTGAGTACTGGGTACACTCGCTCTCTGGTGAGTACTGGGTACACTCGCTCTCTGGTGAGTACTGGGTACACTCGCTCTCTGGTGAGTACTGGGTACACTCGCTCTCTGGTGAGTACTGGGTACACTCGCTCTCTGGTGAGTACTGGGTACACTCGCTCTCTGGTGAGTACTGGGTACACTCGCTCTCTGGTGAGTACTGGGTACACTCGCTCTCTGGTGAGTCCTGGGTACACTCGCTCTCTGGTGAGTACTGGGTACACTCGCTCTCTGGTGAGTACTGGGTACACTCGCTCTCTGGTGAGTACCGGGTACACTCGCTCTCTGGTGAGTCCTGGGTACACTCGCTCTCTGGTGAGTCCTGGGTACACTCGCTCTCTGGTGAGTACCGGGTACACCCGCTCTCAGGTGAGTCTTGGATACCCCAGCTCTCTGGTGAGCCCCGAATATGAGAACGGGCTGTGTTAGAAAAGATAGGGCTTACCGATCCTTCTCATCCAGGTATACAGAGTGGTGAACAAGACCCACGAGTGGACACAGAGGCCAGCCCGACTCCACGCTGGGGTTCACCTCCTGACGCTGCACCAGAGCTCCGGCAAGGTGATGCGGGCCGACACCTACCTGACGTGGCAGCCGGAGAACAGCAGACAACTGCGGGAGGCGATCGTGGATGCTACTGATGGCCGACTCCTCCTCCTCCTGGGCACGGTAAAGACCAGTCACCTTATATTCAAAACACCCCAGCAATACCAACAGTGTTGCAGGGAGCTGTAGATGATCTTTTAGTTACTGTAATGTGTTTAACATCTCTTCGTGAGAAAGTAAAAAAATAATTTTAGGTTATTCTCATCATATTTTCTCGTGGGAAATACTCTGTACTCGATGAGAAAGACATACATACTGAACATTCAGTACAGTGTTTCCGATTATATCCGATTATGAAATGAGTTTAATTTCTTTTATGCAGTAACAGACATTTAAACTTGGAAAATTGTTCTCAGTATGATAAAAAATTTTGTCACAACTTTGCATCACTAAATGAATGTGCTATATGAACCCCAACACACATTGAAAAGTAAGGCTCATTGTGGATCATTATCAGTGATGCAGGAAGGACCGAACCGTTATTTCCTTTATATTTAGATGTTTGTGTTGGGTGTGTAACAGTCAGCCATGTTATTGTGACTTACTGTCTGCAAATGTTCAGTGTCATCATCGACAAAGAATATTATGGATCTATGAGGTCTGTGAGGCAAGATACACTCTCTTCTATATCGTCTTTTCCTTGTCATCTCTTCTCCTGACGACGTCGCAGCCGGAGTTCACCATGTACATGGGACAGGAGGTGGTGGAGCTGCTGGTCTCCCAGGGCTCACAGTTCGTCAACCGCCTGGCGAAGGGCGAGTCCTGGTGCCTGCTGGTGCAGAAGGGTGTGGGTGTCCTGCACGAAGTCCTCACAACCGTTCAAAGCAGTGTAGGGGGTGACGGTGACAACGACGCGGCTCCTACCAGCCTCCTGCTGGTGGTTCCCTTGAAACAAGGTGCGAGAGAATGAGTGTTTTTTGGCCTCGGCGTTTTTACTAAGCCAGAATACTATACCTTTGGTAACGTTATGCTTTCGACAAGATACTAAGGCCTGGTCCGTTATCTAACCTAACCTAACCTTCCAGGTGGAGGGTGTGGGTGGTATGGCGTGGCGGGGCTGCAGGAGAGGGCCGCCTTCTGTGACACTTATGACGGTTATGGTGACTTCTGCACCTGTCACCACCCGCCCTGGTCGCCCCTCCCACAACACCCAGTAAGATATTGCTCCTATTGTCCAACTTACAAAACATGTTATATAACAAGGAAAGAAATTCCGTATTGTGTCTTGCGGAATTTTGGTTAACATGTAATGCTGTAATACTTTAAAATATTACAATTGGTTGTTGTAAGGTCTGCGGACTAATAGTGTTGTGTATGAGGTGGAGTACGAGATGAAGGAGGTGATCCCTGTGGCCATAGTGACAGCTCGCCGGCTGCCCCACGTCCTGCGTCAGGTGGGGCAGGTGTGGGCCAGCCCCGGCGGCACCAACACACCCATCACCATCTTTGTCGACGGCCACAACCCCGAGGCCCAGGCGCTGGCTGCCCTCCTCCACCTCCCTCTAGTCCAACACCACAATCCCGCCTCCAAGGGTGAGTACTCTCTAACGTTTGCCTGTACTCAGCTTGGAGCAAGGTAAAATAATTGCCAGGAGAAAGTCCTAAGCTGGAATATGTATTGAACTCGTCAAGGGGATTGCAGCCCCTAACTGACCGGGTTCGAATCCTTCAGGGGTCAAAAGTTTTCTGATGCATGTTGGCTTGAGGACCATTCAAGCTTAACGAACGAATGTTACTCATGCGGCCTCAGTATGATGAAGTGATTTGATGAAATATATGTGCCCAAAATTGTCACGAGAGCTGTATTGGGTTATCGGGTATTGGGTTAAAAGTCAGACGACTTTCAAATACTTTTGTATAGTCTGTTGGCAGAGTGGTTACAGTGCTGGACTCGCCAAGGGGCATGGAGGCCCTGATTTACCAGGCTCGAATCCTTCATGGGTCAAGAGTTTTCTGAAATATATAATATTTATGTATGTTGTTGAATATGACCGAAAGGGTTAGATTGATAATTCTAACACGAATCTTCTCAATATTTCTTACGTTTTTCTTCACTGTCGAGGGTAATTGAAAAATTAACTCTCCAAAGTTCATTTTCACATTTTCTTTATGGCCTGACGTCTTGAAGCGTTTCGCAAGAGACTTCTTGCATTTTGAAAGACAATTTTACATACTCTGTTTCATGCCTATATTCGATTTTGGGTGAGGTGATATGACAAATGTTTTTGGGTGAGGTGACAGAACACAAATCAATGGGTAAAGACAATTTTACATACTCAGAACACGAATTAATGCGGACATTGCGTGTTTTCTCTTCTTGCTTCTGTGTTGGTTCTGGGTCTTGAAGTGGGTCTTTTGTGTTAATTGGCTGTTAATTGCTAGTGTTGACTTTTTGATGTGTAGGACCTTACTGATGTCGAGTCTCCTGTTGTTGCTGTATCTATCGATAATTTCTGAGTTGTTTGTTAAAATTTCTCTGGTGATGGTCTGGTTGTGTGAGGAGATTATTACTCCTTAATGGAGCCCTGTTGTTTGGGAATTGTTAATCGCCTAGAAAGAGATGTTGTTGTTGACTCAATATATAGGCAAGACGTTGTTCTTGCCTATATACTGAGATCTTTGGGGCTGACAGTTCCCAAGTGGGCATGTGAAGCCATAGACGACGTTGGTTTCCTTCATGGCATTCTGTTTGGTATCTGGAGAGTTCTTTATGAGTAGGTTGGCAATTTTCTTATTTTTGTAGTAAATTGTCAATTGTATCTTCTGATTTTTGTCTGTAGGGATAACGTTCCTATTAATATCTTTCAGGACACTTTCCTCCACTTTATAAGCAATCAAAATGAAATTCCTGTAAAACAGTCTAATAGGGGGTACAAGTTTTGCGTTAGTTGACTCTTTAGAGGTTGCATGGCGTTTCACTTTTTTATTAATGACGTCTTCAACATAACCGTTAGAGAAGCTATTGTTGACTAGGACCTGCCTTTCCCTACAGAGTTCTTCGTCGACCTGCTTCCAACCAGAGCTGTGAGTGAGAGCCCGGTTAATGTAAGCATTGACAACACTCCTCTTGTACCTGTCTGGGCAGTCACTATTGGCATTAAGGCACATTCCTATGTTCGTTTCCTTAGTGTAGACTGTAGTGTGGAAGCCACTATTCCTTTCCGTGACTGTTACATCTGGAAAGGGCTGCTTCCCTTCACTCTCTATCTCGAAAGTGAAACTTGACACCGAATTTTGCTCGAATGCCTCCTTCAGTTGCTGCAAACGTCTGACATCAGGTACCTGCATAAAAATGTCATCATCGTACCTACAGTATATGGCGGGTTTCAAGTCCATGTCAACTAAGACCCTCTGCTCTATGGTGCCCATGTAGAAGTTTGCAAACAGGACACCTAGGGGAGAATCCATGGCGATTCTATCTACTTGCTCATATATGTGCCCATCGGGACTCAAGAAGGGTGCCTCTTTAGTGCAGACTTCGAGTAACTAATTCAGTATGCTCTCTGGAATGTCTAGAGGGGTGCAAGCCGGATCACGATACTCTGTCTATCATCATCCTGACTGTTTCGTCCACAGGCACGTTGGTAAACAGTGACTCCACATCCAGAGAGGTTATTATCCCTGTGGCCCATGCTCCCCGCAGTAAGTCAATGAATTCCTTTGGAGATTTCAGGATAAAAGCACATGGCACATTAGGAGTCAGCAAGCAATTGAGTCGCTTAGCCAGTCTGTATGTGGGTGTGGGTATTTAGCTGATGATTGGCCGAAGTGGGTTTCCAGGCTTGTGGGTCTTGACATTCCGATATGCGTAACCAGGTTTGTATTCCCCGATAACCTTTGGTAGGTGGAGTCCGGATTTCTTGGCGTTCATAGTTTCAATCAATCTATATACCTTTGTTTTAAATTTGGCTGTAGTTACCCACTTCGGCCAAACAATCCCTTCTCATCACCTTCTCTCCCTTCTCCTCACCCTCTCTCACTTCCCCTCACTTGTTTCTCCTCGTCTTGATCACTGTTACGGACACTATGGGTCGCAACCGGGTTCTTTGATGTGGAACAAAAGTACTAGTATCCGACCCCAAGTCGGTAGTCGCTTTCAAGGTGTAGGCTTGGTAATGCAAGTAATAAAAATGGGAGTTGAAATGAACACAACACTTCATCCTTTATCAATATATTCACGTAACTTATTACCACTTTCCCATCACCTTAATTAGAAAATATAAAATGCTATAATATTACTACACATAAATATTTACATGTGTCGCTCTCACATAGGACACTAAGCATTCTTCGATGCTAACGTGATGCAGCCTTTGTCAACTGCCGTGTTTCCTCAATACACAGTACCGTCCTCAACCAGTACTGGGAAACACCAACGAGTCTACCCTTGCCATGGGCCAACCTACCGACAGTATCAATAAGTGCCTCTTGTGAATGCCCACAATCACTCTTCAGCCAAGTGCTGGCAGAAAACTTCAGCTACGCGCTGCTGGGCCTCTACACGGACAAATCATTCTGCTCACTTAGTCCTCTACACGGACAATACATCATTCTGCTCACTTAGTCGTCAAGCAGAATGATGTAGAGAGAGATTAGGCTGCCCAGGGTAGACTGCTTGTCTCCGTACCACTGCAGCCCTACGTCGCCTCTGCGGATACAGACACGTCATCAGTAAACTGACCGGCACTGGTGAATCTAAGAAATACCACTTACTGACTCTGGCATTGACATAAAGCTCATATCAACAGATGGCGCTGATTTCTAGTCGCCACCTCACCAGAGGTCAGCCACAGCGACTCCTGGCTGACCAAGGCAGGAATCTTGAGCCTTTTTTTGCAGGTATTACACAGCCACCACCAGATGGCATTGTCTACATTACGCCCGATACTGTGGGGGTTAGGGAGCAGACTCACAGATGGCGCTGAGGTCGCTACTCCATACTGCGACGATGTAGTCGGGTTTGTAACAATCACTATTCTATTTCATAGGTTCCTCGACCAGGATCAACGAGCACATTAAGTTCGCTCTGAAGACGGTGTTTGAGATCTACAACACAGCCAATCTCTCCATCATCTTGGAAGACGATCTCCAGCTTGCCCCAGATTTTATTCCGTACGTATTAGTTTACGCTCACAGTATACACGGGACATACACAATGAAAGGACTAGATAATAGATACATTATGTATCTATTATATAATATTGAGGCCATTTAATGGGATCGAACAGGCGTCCCTGGACTTCCCAAGCACATGCACTAGCGACTGAACCATGGTGACATGAAAAGTATCTCATCATGAGTCAGTGGGTATTGAATATGTTCGGGGTGTTCATAGATACGGGTTCGATCCCGTTAAATGAACTAAGGTATATTATATATATTTAAAATTACAGGTCAAATAAATTTTTTTATATGTCTAATTATATAAATAACATATTACTGCTTATTATTTATCTCCCAAGCTCTTTTTTTCTTCTCCTCTGGTTATCACCCTCTCTTTCTTGCCCGAGTGGCCGGTAGAGAGGCTCAAGAACATACAAGTAGAAGTAGTCATCCACCAGTCTCAGGAGACTATGGAGTTGCGCTCTGGTTGTCGGTCTGGAGTGGCCTCTCCAGGGCGCAAAGTCAGGGTAACTTGGTGGCCATATATTGGTTAGAATATATATTTGCTGCGTGACACCTTGACGCACTGTTTCTTAAGTCCCCAGCCATCAGGTACCTTCAAGATGTCTTCCCTAAGCTGTCTTAAGCAAAGGTCAAAGCAAATTTTGAGGGAAATAATAACAATTTTCTATACTTTGGAGAAGCTACACAAGGTAGGTATAAGCAATCAGAAAATAACACTACAGAGGGATAACATTTTTGTGCTAAATGTTATTTGTTCAGTGGTATAGTCTCTTTCTTCCTTATCCTCATTATTCTTCCTCCTTCTTAATCCTATTTCTTCTTCTTCCTCTTCCTCCTCCTATTTCCATCTTTTTCTTACATCTACAGCACCAGGAAGGTATAATGTTATTATTTCGTCGTCATAACACATGTATATTTGGCCAGGTATTTCCACCAGACGGCGCCACTACTCAAGTCCGACCCTTATCTATTGTTCGTGAATGCCTTCAACTACAACTCTTACGATCACACCGCCTACGACCCCCGGAGGCTCTACCGGGCCCACGGCATCCCGGGGTATGGCTGGATGACCACCCGTCAGGGAGCAGCGGATATGCTGGCTAACTGGGTCCCCAACACCAAGGTGAGCTCTTCGTCTAGTGAGCTTTGGCGAAGCAAACAGCTGGCTATCAGCAAATTGCAATCTGGTTCTGTGAAAACATAGCCAACATGTCAAGATGGTGACTGGAGCCACGAGCAGCCAGCTGGCCACCTAACACGGGGTGCTCACCCGTATGACGCTGCCAGCTGAGCCCCATCTCCCAACTCGGCTAACATAACCCCTCACTTTTACTGCCGCCCGCGACAGAGAGACGCCGTGTGGGACTGGTGGGTGCGAGCCAGGGTGATGGGCAGCCGGGACATGCTGCTGCCGGAGGTGCCCAGGACCAGGCACATGGGCGGGGGCGGCACCCACGTCTCGGGCTTCGACCAGCTCTTCTATTCCTCCCAGCCTCTCAACAACCTCACCAGTGTCACCCTCGACGTCGAAAGGTAAGGTAAACAATATAATATATGATATACATTCTTATTTCCCCATTGTTAACGAAGGTGCCTGACCAAATTTTCTTTCAGATATTTAAAGCTTCCTATATTTAGCTATGCCTCTCAAACTAATATATATATATATATATATATATATATATATATATATATATATATATATATATATATATATATATATATATATATCATTGATCATTGACAGGTCTGTCAATATATATCATATACAGTATATATAGACGATCATTGGTGCGGTGGTCACGGTACTGTGTACGTTTAGGGGTGATCCTGGACGGCATGGGTTCGAATCCTGGCCGGGTCATAGAATTCTTAGTGATCTATGGCTTGCGCGTTCATGCAGCTTTCTCACACACACACACACACTAGCCCCTCAAACTTTCTAAGGCTAAAAAAACAATATAATTATCAACATGACATTACTGAGAGAGGTAAAGAAGCTGTAATGAAGGGTAGTGATGACATCCATGGTCTTGACAGTGCTGAAGAAGCCAACTATGAGTACCACATCCTGCAGGAGATGAGATCTGCCCAGGTGGTCACCCTCACACAGCATCCCTGCGAGGTCACCCCTCTCCCGACCCACCAGGTGAGTGCCCCCCTAAGCAGGTGACCCCTGACACCAGATGAGTCATTCCGTACACACACACACCATGAAGGAGGTTCACAATAGGTCAATATTTCACAATAGGTCAATATTCACAATAGGTCAATATTCACAATAGGTCAATATTCCACAATAGGTCAATATTTCACAATAGGTCAATATTCACAATAGGTCAATATTTCACAATGTCACAAAGGTTTACAGGTCATGGAACAAGTAACACCTGACTCATGTGTTATATTCACCAGGTTCATCACCATTATTCTGGAAATGTTAAACCAAACTGTTAAATAAACCTACTAAAATTGATCAACAATGTTATATAAACTGTGAAAAATATAGCCTATCCCTTCCCTTCCCTCCGTCTCCTGCTTTCTCCCCTAACTCTTTTGTTTTCTCTCCTTCCTCTCATGTTTTCTCTTTTCCCTCTCCTACTTTCTCCCCCTTCCCTCTCCTCTTCTGTTTTCTCTACTACCTTTTCTGTTTTCTCTCCTCCCTCTTCTCTTTTCTCTCCTCCCTCTTCTACTTTCTCTCTTCTCTCTTTTGCTTTGTCTCCTCCCTCTTCTGCTTTCTATCCTCCCTCTTTTGCTTTCTCCCCCTCCCCTTTTGTGTTTTCTCCCCACCTTCCTCAGTTCCCTCCCCTGCCTCTCCCCCCCACCACCCCCCCCCACTCACAGCTCTACCCCTCACCCCACAGACCAACACCACCTTCCTCCTCTACATTCACCAGCCGGACGAGAACAAGCAGTTCACGTCGTACCAGGTGATTGCCCTGGTGAGTACCTCGTCCTCTCATCTAATACGTCACATTTCTCTACATAATCAACTAATCCGTTAAAAAATACGACGTATTTGTACACATTTAACCACCGTAATATTGCCGCTTTCCCCCTATGCATCGGCCTCGATGGGTTAGGTGGGATGCTTGGGTTTGTGCGCTTCTGGTTAGGCAAAACAGTTGCATTTTTTACGTTTCTCGTTAGGTAAAAACAGTTTATTTTTTTACGGAGTGGTAAAGTGAAAGACTGGGAAGATCTTAAGGAAGGAGAGGTACCCCTTTGCCTCAACCTGTCCTCACGCTTAATGCACAGTAATTTTCAAGTTATCGACCACTGCGTCAAAATTCCGGTGCTTTAGTGAAATAAAACCACTTTAAAACTGACGCTTCTCAAACTGTGTGACCTGGCTAGATAGGCAAGAAAGCAACACTTTCTCACGATTTGACATGCGTCAAATTTAAAGTAGATTTAGTTTACTAAAGCGCCGGAATTTTGACGCAGTGGTCAACAGCGTCCAAAGAGTGATGCATTAAATGGAGGAAGAGTCGTAAAAGACAAAGAATTAGAGAGTAGATGGGAAAAATAGAGTTTCCCGTCCGGCCGTCTGCGTGGACATCTTCAACAGGAAACTAGATTATTTCCTCCAAGGAGTGCCGGACCAACCGCGCTGTGGTGGGTATGTGGGCCTGCGGGCCGCTCCAAGCAACAGCCTGGTGGACCAAACTCTCACAAGTCAAGCCTGGCCTCGGGCCCGGGTTTGGAGAGTAGAAGAACTCCCAGAACCACATCGACCAGGTATCAACCAGAGAGGGAAGGACTGAAGTTTGAGAGAAAGTATGGAAGTTTCAACTTCATTCTCTCAAACTTGAGAAACTGAAGTTTGAGTTTGAAGTTTTGCTAGAGGGAGCAAAATCGTCTCACTTCTTGTATATCGGGACTACATGATAGCCTTCTTCCAATTTTGTTACAGTTGTCTATTTACCAGTGATATGTTATGCATCATTGAGAGTGGTAGGCACAATCCTTCTGCTCCTTCTTTTAGTATCTATGGCGAGATTCCGTCTGGGGCTATACAGTCTTTGCCACATCCAACTCAAACAACTGCTTCCTTACCTCCACATTTTTCATCTTAAAGTCCTCCAGTGGTGCTTCGTTAGTCACTTTCTTAGTTCAGGAACATCTCCTTGCTCTATTGTGAAGGCTTCCTGGTGTTTTTTACTAAGTTCCTCGCACACTTCCTTGTCATTTATAGTGAACCTGTCTGCCCCTATCCCCAGTTTCATTATCTGTTCCTTCACTGTTGATTTCCTTCTGATGTGGCTGTGTAGCAATTAAGGTTGAGTCTTTGCCTTACCTGCTATGTCATTTTCGACTGATACAAACTTATCTGGTGCCTCCCTACACTTCTGCGTGATGTAATCTATACACAAACACACATCCATGGTGTGTGTGTGTGTTTTCACCTATTTGTGCTTGCGGGGGTTGAGCTCTGCTCTTTCGGCCCGCCTCTCAACTGTTACTAACTAATATTTTTTTCACACACATCCCCAGGAAGCAGCTCGTAACAGCTGTCTAACTCCGAGGTACCTATTTACTGCTAGGTAACAGGGGCATCAAGGTGAAAGAAACTCTGCCCATTTTGTTTCTCAAAATTCTTGTTTTGTGTGTGTGTGTGTGTGTGTGTGTGTGTGTGTGTGTGTGTGTGTGTGTGTGTGTGTGTGTGTGTGTGTGTGTGTGTGTATGCGTGTATGTGTGTGTGTAACATACGTGTTTTTTTGCCTGGGTGTTCATATGTTCTATAATAAAATACCTTTAAACATAACAATAACTCCACTTGATCATTCTCTTCCCGTCCCGGCCGCCTGCGACCAGTGTCTGGGCATCAACGACAGAGACATCCACGAGAACTTGAGAATGATGGTCACCTTTCCCTTCTTCGGTAACCGCGTGTATCTGGTCGCCTGCCCCAACTCCCCTTACTGGTGAGTGGCACTCTGTGGGCCTCCCAAACCCATTCGGTATTAATATGTTGAATCAATTATCATTAGTACACATCCCACGCATATGAAAAGGGGTTAGGTGACGACGTTTCGACCGTCACTGGATCATTGTGAAAATACACGACGGACCGAAACGTCGTCAGTTTCAGTTCGCATGTGTGGGTTATTTTTCAGTCATGTTATCGTAGATTATTCTCTGCAAAGTTATTATTATTCATAACACTTCCAGCAGCTGTTATTGCCACTATTATTGCTATAAATTATAACTAATATATATATATATATATATATATATATATATATATATATATATATATATATATATATATATATATATAAATATATATATATATGTATGTATATTTTGGTAGCAGTATTTCTTGTAAACATATGTTGTTAAATATGACCGAAAAAGTAAGATTAATAATTCTAACACGAATTTTCTCAATATTTCTTATGTTTCTTTTTTACTGTCGACGGTAATTGAAAAATCAATTCTCCAAAATTCATTTTTATTTCTAGTCTGACGCGACGCTTGGCTTGAACGCGTTTCGTAATAACTTATTACATTTTCAAAGACTTTAGTTTACACACACACAACTGTAACCTGAAAACACTAAACAGAGTTTTACTTATGCTAAACACTTAAACAGCTTGTCTTATATACTCGCATTTGGGTGAGGTGATATGTTGCAACACTTTTGAATGAGGTGAACAAACTTTTGACCAACATAAGACAGAACACGGAACATTGGGTATTAATTGGATAAATGAGAGGGAAGAAACTGCAAAGGGCATATTGGCCCATACTTCCTCTTGATGCTTCTATATTGGTACGGAGTCTTGAAGTGGGTAGAATGAAGTGTTGTACATTAATTGGCTGTTGATTGCTGGTGTTGACTTTTTGATGTGTAGTGCCTCGCAGATGTCAAGCCGCCTGCTATCGCTGTATCTATCGATGATTTCTGGGTTGTTTGTTTGCCAACAAACAACACAGAAATCATCGATAGATACAGCGTTTGATTGTTTGTCAACAAACAACACAGAAATCATCGATAGATACAGCGATAGCAGGCGGCTCGACATCTGCGAGGCACTACACATCAAAAAGTCAACACCAGCAATCAACAGCCCATTAATGCACAACTATATTCTACCCACTTCAAGACTCCGAACCAATATAGAAGCATCAAGAGGAAGTATGGGCCAATAGGCCCTTTGCAGTTACTTCCATTCTTATGCTCTCATATCCAATTAATACCCATTGTTCTGTGTTCTGTCTTGTGTTTGTCACAAGTTTGTTCACCTCATCCAAAACTGTTGTACCATATCACCTCACCCAAATGCGAGTATAAATATAGAAGCAAATGGCGTGTTTACAGGTTACAGTTGTGTGTGTGTAAACTAAAGTCTTTGAAAATGTAATAGGTAATTACAAAACGCGTTCAGGCATCGCGTCAGACTAGAAATAAAAATGAATTTTGGAGAATTGATTTTTCAATTACCATTGACAGTAAAAAGAAACATAAGAAATATTGAGAAAATTCGTGTTAGAATTATTAATCTTACTTTTTCGGTCATATTTAACAACATTATATATATATATATATATATATATATATATATATATATATATATATATATATATATATATATATATATATATATATATATATATATATATATGACAGTGTCAGACCACGGAGGAAAATTGAAACAGGAATTTCCTTAAGTACTTTTGTATATTAATACATCTTCAGAAGGACTCCTTCTGAAGATGTATTAATATACGAAAGTACTTAAGGAAATTCCTGTTTCAATTTTCCTCCGTGGTCTGACACTGTCACATTTTTAATCACGTGTATATTTTTCGTGATTTACACACACACACACACACACACACACACACACACACACACACACACAAATATATATATATACAGGACTGATATGTAATAATCATTCGATGAATTTATACAAAAATTTGTTACACCCTCAGCAGTCTCATTCCCAACACACTGTTCTAACAATATATAGATCTGACTCCAATAGGACTCAAAATGCCTGTCAATAAGCCATCTCCTTTGTAGACAGTAGTTTTTGTAGACATATATATATATATATATATATATATATATATATATATATATATATATATATATATATATATATATATATATATATATATATATATGTCGTACCTAATAGCCAGAACGCACTTCTCAGCCTACTATTCAAGGCCCGATTTGCCTAATAAGCCAAGTTTTCATGAATTAATGTTTTTTCGTCTACCTAACCTACCTAACCTAACCTAACCTAGCTTTTTTTGGCTACCTAACCTAACCTTACCTATAAATATAGGTTAGGTTAGGTTAGGTAGGGTTGGTTAGGTTCGGTCATATATCTACGTTAATTTTAACTCCAATAAAACAAATTGACCTCATACATAGAGAAAAGGGTTGCTTTATCATTTCATAAGAAAAAAATTATAGTAAATATAATAATTCAGGA